ATGGTTCATGTCATGTAAGACTGAAAGGAAATGATATTGTGAGGAAGATGATCTCTTTAGTTGTAGCGAAGCACTGAATGTATTGGATATGTACCGGTATTTGGGTCATATGATGCGAGGGCACACAAATAGATGAAAGAGTTCAATTGTAATCTTTTTCGAGTCATGACAAGTAAAACATTTGTTTCTTTTCTATCTTTTTTTTTTGGTTGCCTTAATAATTAGAACAACATTGACTGATTCTTGATCTCACTAATATAACATTGCAACTTGGTCATCTCAGTTTGCATCTCACAAAAGTCCTGGTACTGTATTAGGTAAACAGCCGCCATAGTTGTTAGGTCGGTATACTTTATTAATAGATATACATATAGAATGACATTTTAAAAAAACAACACTAGTACAATAATGTATTTTTACTTTTATTCATATTCAAATAATATGATGGATTAACCGTCTAACATTTAGACATCGTGATATCTAGACAGGCTCATAACCTCACTTGTGTCGGAGGATAGATCTCACCGTAACTATTGCATTTTATCTCTCAAACAGACAGAACCTTATTACATTGCAAGTGATACTATTTTAATTTGTCCTAATGCCTCAACAACATAACATTCTACCAAATTAGCAAATCAGTTGGGGGATATTTGAGATACTATAGCTTTAAATCTACCTAGAAGAGTAAGTCACAAATCATAAGCAAGAACAACATTCTACAATTTCCATCAAAAGCTATGTCTCAATGTACACATGAGCCAACTAGTCCCCAAAAAAGAACACCATAATCACAGTCTTTGCTATTCAAGTTCATTAAACCAAAAAATAAAAAACATCTGTATAAAAATTTTTCCCATATTCTTCTGCTATAACCGAAACGCCCAGTCGGGCGCAATGCACATTACCTCATCGTCTAATAAATCCACATCACCTCTCAAACACTTGAACATCTCGACAGCTGTCGAACTAAGCTGCCTGCACGAGCCCAAATAAAGCTTTCGAAGTCCCGGGCAACCATTCCTCAAAGCCTGCAGCCCTCGATCACATAAATTCTGGCACCGATTCACATGAAGTCTCTCAAGTTTACGACAGCTGGCACCAATCGACTCCCAACCCGAAATTTTAACTCCGTGACACAAAGCCAAATTCCACTCCTCGAGAAACGGGCAGCCCTCAGCAATTCTCGCTATAATATCATCCCCAACAGTTCTGCACAGCCGAAAATTCACAACTCTCAAGTTCGAGATGCACCAAGTGTCGCCACCTGGCGTACCGAACGCACTCCCGAACCAGATAAGGTTAGATAGGTTTAAATATTTGAGCCCACCTCCGCTAATGGCAGCTGATATTCCTCCAGGGCTGAGTCTACTGCATGAATCGGCCTCCAAATAATCGAGAGAGTTTGGACAGCCTTGAAGACCTGTGCCTCTTACATTCCTACAGTGAGATATGCTGATGGCTCGTAAATGACGGCAGTTTTGAGAGAGTGCTTTTATTCCGGGGTCGGATATAAACCCACAATATGAGAGATTTACATCTTTTAGAGCCGAGCAAGATTTCGACAGGGTTTGAAGCCCGGAATTAGTAATATTGCATCGGTACAAGCTAATGATTGCTAATCCAGGGCAATCACTAGCCATGTACGAAAGCCCGTTATCCCTGATGTTAAAACAGCAATCGAGATTCAAGCTTCGAAGCATTTTTGGCCAGACATGGGCTAATACCGAAAAACCCGAATCAGAAAGCTCGGTGCACCCGGATAGGGATAGTGACTCGAGCTGCGTGAAGCGGTTGAGCAATTTGTACAGATGAAAGGAGTTAATTTTGGTCGAGGGCTGAGAGAGTGAGGTAGGGGTAAAATGGGAAAGTGAGCAACATAACTGCAGAGACCGGCGGCTTGAGTTTTGGATATGAAGCCACCGGTGGCAAGTCAGTCCGAACGACTCACGGTCAGAACTGGAGTCGAGCCTTTGAAATATAAAGTGCAAGCAATCATCGGAAAGCTGGAGGATGGATGTTAGTGAGTTGAATTCGATATGTTTCATTGTTTGTTTATTTTTGTTAACGCTAGCTGTTTTCTTCAGAAGGTTGTAAAGCTCGAATCTTTATCACGATTTTTTTATAGGACGAGCGGGATGAGGTCGGTGAGTCGAGACCACAAAGGGCGGTTGAATCTCCATACCCATAACCGATGAGAGCTCCACAATTACGGCAGAGAAGTTTGGATTTCGAACGGTAACGGCCCCAAGTTATAGGAAGGCAGTGCACTTTATCGACTTGAGTAAAACGACTGGGATCGATGGAAAGGAATGAGATAAGACCCTTGTTGATAGATTTGCTATATCTAGAGCTAATGTTGGAAGTTGCACGGTTTGAAGATGCTAAGTTCAGATGATATCCACAAGAACCACAGCTGCAATTGTTGTGAAAAATAAAACACTTAGTTATGTAACAAAAGTATAACCAATCATAAAGCGACAAAATTGTCGAGGAATGGTGTGAGAGGATAAAGGATCAGACTCTAATCTCTTAACACTAGAATTTGCATCACGTTGCAGCCTCAGCATAGATATTAGTATAATATGCTGCCAATATTCTTGTGCATTTAATATGACTGGTGTGAATGTAAGAAAGGAGTTAATTTCTTTGATAAAGTTTTAAACCGATGGCCAAAATGCTAATGCTTATGAATGATCAACTATAGAAAATTCTCAGTTTCGAGACTTCACCAAATGAAAAGAAGTAGTGATTCGTATTTCATAGGTCGTATACAAGCAGCAACAGGAGATTAGCAGTTAACACACTTTGGAATTGAAGTTTTGCGTGAAACATCAAGTGATGAAACTAGCAGAACCAGATGCAGCCTCTTTATCGTACATATCAAGCTCCCCCAAAATTAGATCACAATCAATTTTAACAGACAATTGAGACATCAATCCACAAAATCACACAGCCACATGAATCGCAATTATTCTCAGAACAAATTGAGCTATACCAACTGAAATTACCACAAACACNCCCCCCCTTCCCTTTTAACAAAATGCATATACAAATGAAAAATCAAACTTTCACGAAATTTACAGGATTCAACAACCTAAAAGCAACAATAATAATATGAACAACCATATCGAAATGTCCAGCAACTAAACGTGATTAGAAACTGGGAACAATTTGGAACTTAAAACTTCACCTGTACGCGACATCAGCTTGGGACATTTCTTGGTAAGAAAATCAAACATGAGCTTCGTCTGATCCCATTCAAACTTTTCAGCAGAAAATCTGCGTTGCCCAAAAAGTTTATTTGCTGAAATATAAAGAATTTCAGCCTTTCAGTAGTTGAATTGGCAGTCTAAAAGCAAAAAGGGAGACGTCGCCTTCCTTCTTGCTTCGAACGCTGTTTTTGTTTCTTCTTCGATTAAAAGTTGCTTGTGGACTTTGGCTTATTCCGAAACATTATTGAATATCGACATCATATTAAAATATTATCTAATATTTGTTCCATGTATTTTTTTCTTTTATATTTATGATATGTAATTTATTTTATATTTATGATATGTAATGACTTGATTCTATAAAATGACTTGATTCAAAAATAAAATATTGGTTCTTATAGAAAAATCAAATCAAATTGTTCATAAATTTGCCTTTTATAATTTATTTAGCATAAACATTTTTAAATTTTGCTAAAATATATACTAACATTATTTTTATGTTGTGTAATATTGTATATAATTTATTTTATATATATAATATCTATTTACGATACAACTTTAGGGTCCAAACAATTAATGAAGGCTAAATATAATTTGTATTGTCCACATCGATATAATTGTTCTAGGCTACCTTTCCACAACTAATTTAGATCAATAGATTCATGAATTTGACTTCATCCATTCAAATAATTATTTAAGACTGGTTTGTAATTTAATCATTATATTATTAATTTGAATTAATAGGTACACACATGAAAGTTGAAACTTAGCTTATATTGNACAAAAAGAGACCCAAAAGACTCTCAAAACTATAGCACAAAACCATAACACCCAAGAATAAAACCATAACAAAACAACGAGGATTAGAGATCAGAGATAATCCCACTGAGCTAAACCAAAAGTTACAGACCACCCGCCTATTGGAAGCTTACAACAAGTCCCTAGGCGAATGCTTCTGTAAGACCAAGCAAAAAGGCTAAAAAAAACAGAAAAGAAAACTAAGAGAAAGTAGAAAACTCAATCCATTCTCGAACGGCTCCATCGACTAACTCTTTGGCTGATATCCACTTCCGTTCGAAAATCCATAAATTGCGCCATTTCCAAAGCCACCATAACAAGTACATTATTAACTGTTGTCTTTGAGCAAAAACTTTAGAAGTTTTACCTTCACAAATCCGGCTCCGCCAACCTGTGAATCCAACATCAGCAATATTACAACAATCCCATGAAACCGGCGCTATTTTCCAGACTAGAGAAGCCCGCTCACAAGAAAAGAAAATATGCTCCAAAGATTCAGAATCTTCTCCACACAATCTGCAGGACTGTTGAGATTGACATTTCCTCAGCCATAAATTGTGAGATGTAGGAATGGCATTGTGTAGGACTCGCCATAAGAAATGCTTCAGTTTGTGTTTAATCTTTAAAGCCCAGGTCACTTTCCACATTCTTCTCAATTGCTTTTTACTGGAGCTACTCTCAGGAGTATCAAGGTGAGTTTGAAACATTTAAGTGATTGTGTATAAGCAGACTTCACTGTAAAATCACCATTGAAAGTAAATATCCAAATCAACTTATCTGGTTGCTGAAGGTTCTGAAGAGGTGAGTATGGCATTAGCATCCTGCTCCATAAAAATATTTCTGACTAGGCTAGCATTCCATCTTTGACCACTTTCATCAAAAAGCTGGTAGATCCATTCAAGATTATGATGGTCGCTATAGGTTCCTGTTAGTCTGGAATTTGAAGAAGATAGAAGCCAGGGTTCACTCCAAATTCTTGTAGTCCTTCCATTTCCAATCTTCTTCCTCAGTCCTGCACGAAACACTTTCTCAGCTGCCACCCAACTTCTCCATAACCAGGAGTTGTTGTTCTTTACTTTCAATTTTTTCCAAAGGCCTTTCTTCATGTATCTAGCTCGGATTAATCTGCTGCACAAGCTGTGAGGATTAGTATAGAGCCTCCATAATTGCTTGGATAGAAGAGCCATATTAAAGGCTTCAAGATTCTTGAAACCCATGCCACCATCAGCTTTAGGAAGAGATATAATCCCATCTTGTCCAATGAATTTTGTTCCTCCCTTTAGCATTGCACCCCCACCAGAAATTTGAAGATGTGCTGCCAATTTTCTTGAGAACTCCTTTAGTGATCAGAAAGCAAGACATAATATAAACTGGAAGAGCATTAATGACTGGGTTAATCAAAATCTCCTTGCCAGCCGGGCTAAGAAAGTTATTCTTCCAGTTAAAAAATCTATTTTCAACAGCAGTACAAACATACCCAAAAACATCTTTCTTAGATCTACCTATAATCATAGGAAGACCAAGATATCTAGAGCTTCTCATTATACTAATCCCACCCAGAGTCCTACGAATAGCTTCTTTAATATTATTAGAAACATTACTACTAAAAAAACAAGAAGATTTATCAAAATTAACTAATTGGTCAGAATTTGCACAATAAAAATCCAAAAGAGACTTGAGAACCAGTGCATGACCAGGATGGACTTTACTAAAAATAATAGCATCGTCAGCGAAAAGATAATGCAATGAAAGACTTACAAAAACAAATTATATAAGAATCGATAAAAGTGAACAAATATTAAAAATAACTATGTCTGTTATTAATCAAATAAAAAACAAACTAAGAGTAGTGTCAAAGAGTTTGGCCTAATGCTAACGATTGAGGGCTAGACATAACAAGATTTGCGGTCCTATTCTTAATCGTGGACTTTTAGCTAAATTATTATTAAGATACCTTTATCAAAAAAATTCTATAGAATGCACAAATTATATCTATAGCTATTTTAAAAACATTTATATTAGTTTAGTTTAAATTGTTTTAATAAAATAATAAAACTCAATTTTTTTTAAATAAACATTTAGGCATATAAAACGTTTTCATTACATACCAGTTTTAGTTCTACCTATTTTTCAAAGAAATAACAGTAAAATAACAAATAAGTGATTGACTAGTATATATTTTAAGACTTAACATTGACGACGTTTAACAATTGGGTATTAACGTCTATTATTTTAATATCGAGCTTTATAAAAATAATCGATGTTGATACCCAATTGTTAAACGTCGCCAATGTTAATAGTCTTATAAAAAATTGTGAAAATAGTCTTTTTACCCCACTATGGATATTTATTAAGTTTTTCATACCGTCTGTAGATAAGTTAACTTTTTCACCCCAGAAAGTGCGAAAGGCATTGTGCGATGAATATGCGATAGTTGCGCGATGACATTGTGCGAAAGTTAAAAGTGCGAAGGCATTCGCATATCCCTTCGCACTTTCTGAGGTGGAAAAAATTAAAGTACGAAGGCATTGCGCGATGAATATGCGACAGTTATGCAGTCCATTCGCATATACTTCTCGGGGTGAAAAAGTTAATGTAACTTTGTATTGAGGTGAAAAAGATTTTTTCCCTAAAAAATTTATATGCTAGTCAATTATTTATTTTGTTATTTACTATTCTTTGTTTGAAAAATAGGTAGAACTATTTTTTTTTTATGTAATGGAAACGTTTTATATAGTTAAGATATGACCACCGAGCGAATTCGCCTAGTGGATTTGAATAGTTGACCCCAGGTTTGAGCTCCAACTGGAATCGACTAATATAATTTAGACTCAAACTTCGACGGATTGCTACATACTAAAATTTTGATCTCGACTCACCAGACTCGAAAACCGATGGATTAGAGTGATCGATTTTTATTTTGAATATTTTGAAAAATATTTGGACCCGTTAGATTTGCCCGAAATGTATGGGCCCAAATTGAAAGTTGGGCCCGGAACCGATGGAACGGGCCAATTGGCCACATTATAGGGTAAGTTACTAATTGTGAAGAGTAGCTTAATTGAAATTTATCCTTGGTTAAGAATAAAGATATACGAAAATATTTTATTTGTTCGAAAGAAAAGAACGAAAAACAAAAGCTTGGAGAGGGAGGGTACAGAACAACGGAGGGAACATGGACACAGGGACGTTCCATCTTTTCTAGAGAGAGAAACAGAGAAATTAGAAACCCTAAATCAAATATATTCACCTGTCTTCCAGATCTTCGTGTACCAGCACTAGCTAGTACACCATCTTCTCATTTTGGCCTATACATACACCGTTTCCTGTACGTATAGGCTCGTGTTCCGCGCATTGCCAGCTTCAATCGGACCCGTCGCAACTTATGCGATCACTCACCTGGAATTAAGCCCGGAAAATTGATCTGTGTGGACATTTTGGCAACAGCTACTATTTTCGGATTCACTCACTATTTCCGATTGGATCTGTTGCTGCGAATTGAGCCGTTGATTGGCCCTGTCTGATGGATGATCTGGACGTTCTGGCCCGGGACTTCGGGCTCGGGGCCCGTGGGAAATCTAATCCGATGAGGTCTGCACCCTCTGATCGTCGATCCATTGACGATCCATTGTTCGGCGATGTTTTCAGTGGGCAGCCAAAACATGCAGCGAGCTCGAATCCCAGTAGTAAGAATAGTCACTCGTCAGTGAACGATTTTGATTATGAATCCATTTTCAAGTCTTCAGCTGCTAGCGAGCTCAAGAATGGTAATAACAGCAGCAGTAAGTCGTCCTCGTTGCCTGTGTACGATAAGCCTGTGTATGATGAGGATATTTTTGATGGGTTGCCGGGTTTGAAAAGCAAATCAGCTGCAACGGCTGTGAGATTTGAGGATGACATGTTTTCCACGATTTCGTTGCCACCAACGAGCAAGAGTAGGAACCAGAGCAGTGATTTTGATGATTTGTTGGGGAACTTAGGGAGAAATGAGAAAGGAGGGGAGAGTAACATGAGCAGTAGTGCTAAGAGTAGCTCGAGTACAAAGGGATTTGATGATTTGTTACCTGGGTTCGGCAGTGGCAGTCCTGCTGCTAGCAACAGGTGATTTTCTGACATATGTGCTGCTATATCACCTGGATTTGTGCGGAAAAGATTGATCGAATGGTTTCTTGAGTTGCGTGATCTTTATTATTGAGAACCACATTACAGTACTTATGTCCTCAGTGTTTGATTTAAAAGGTGTTGGTTTAAATGCAGTTTCATGTGAAAAGGATTAGATTAATCGAATAATGGGTAAAGAAACTTTATGCCTTTTTTTTTTTTNGTGAAAATATTAATGCATCATGCATTTATTTCGGCATCTATGTGCTTGTACAATGAAGATGATCCTGTGTTGTTTTGAATGAAGTCTATAGTAGAGCTAATTGAAGAAAATTATTCCCCTTCCTTTGTTCTACTGACTTGTTAGATAGTCTTCCCTTTAATCTTTAGAAATACTGGCACTTATAAATATCATACAATTTTTTTGGTTGTGCGCTTAAATTCTTTCTCATTCTTGAAATAATTTAACATGTCGTGAACGAAAAATATTTGCCGAATGTCAACCATTTCCCATTATATATAATGTGTTTCCTCGTAGCATTTACACCAAGACAGAGTGCAAGGGAGATGAAAGTTCTGTTGAGTTATTTTACGAGGAAAACTGAATATGAAGAGAAAGTAAACAACTTACATGATTGGAGATAGTTCCACTTGAAAAATCTAGAACTAGATTTAATGCTCGCAAAACAAGCATTAAACTTGGAGATCATTTCTATCTATCATTAACATTTAAAAAAAATAGATGCAGCATTCCTAGTTTGAAAAAAAAAAAATTATAGCTATGTTGGAATCTAAATATCATGACCGGATGGGGACTAGGTATAAACATCATTGCTATGGACATTTGCTGACTGTTATAGATTCTAAATGGGGAAAACCACTTTGGAACAAGCTTATTTTATCAAACTCTTTAAATTTCTAAGGTATACTTTTCTCAAAGTATATTGACTTCAAATGTATGCATTTTTGTTTGGTCAAGTGAATTGAAAGCATCATCAATGCCGTTAGAAAGGGATTGAGGTGGTTTTGGAATTGAATATGGAAATAATTGATTGTGAACTATTGCCCAAATCAGAAAAAAGGGAGAGAGATTCAGCTGGTGTGAACAGGATATGGCCACTTGTTTACCTAGAAAAAAGCCTCATGTTAGGCATCTATGGCGTGTTGCTATATTTTAATTGTTTATTTTTCACTAGAACAAGTTTTCACAGTCTAACCACACTCATTTGAATAAAGATTTGTTAGGTAACTTTGGGTTAATACCTTAATTTTGGTAATTGATGTATTAATCAAGTTGCTGGTATCGAACTTTATATAATAGCTGGTACTGTGACATATTGTATTTGAATCTCACAGTTAAATCTATTTTGGATGTGTTACATTTGTAGAGTCGCACACCACACAACTACAAATATAGATTAATTTGAGAGTGACTTCTTCTTTTACTTTGCATTTGAGTTATGGACATTATATACGCTTGTTCTTTTATTGTAAACTGCTATTAGAGTTATTACTTTGGCTCATGCTGATATATTTTCAAATCAAACAAATGAAGCATCTTCGCTTTCTGTTGTGGTACAGACCAGTACCAGAGTCGAGGTGGGGCTCTGTACCCACTGCTGGTTCGAAGCACGGAAATATGCTGGATGATCCTTTTGTAGTTCTGGAATCAGATTCAACCCCACACTCGTCTTCTGGGGTATTTACTGATCCTCTGGAAGAGATTGGTAAGCTTAGTAAGTCTAGAAGTGTGAGGGCTGAAGTTTCTTCTGGTACAGGTGGAGCATTTGATGACCTAGACCCCCTTGGCACTAGTGGAAAATCTGCACATGTATTGTCCCCTGGGAGAGATCGCATAGGTAAGGGTGGGAGCCCTTCCAGATCAGAAATGCCACAATCTTCTACTGGTCGGGAACAAATGGGGACCTCGACTTTCAGATATTCAGAAAGCAGTACAGCAAAGAAAGATCCTGTAGACAATTTTCAGGAATCTCCCTTATTTGATGTACCTAATGTTTCAACAGATTCACAGAAATCATTTGATCAGACTGCTTCTCCTCAATATTATGGAACAGGCCCACAGGTCGATATGTCACAAGCATCAGAACAGGGACATCAAAATGACGATGTATGGCTAACTGTGTCTGAGATTCCACTTTTTACACAGCCTACAGCTGCTCCACCCCCATCACGACCTCCTCCACCTATACCCCGTAAATCTTCAAAGTCGGAGACAGGTTCCTATTTTTCAAGTTCAAGAAAGAAGGGAGATGAGTTCTCTTCACCCTCATATAATTCTCATCACTCTCAAAGTTCTAAGCCCGACTGGTCTGCAGACAAGAGCCCTCCAGCTTCACAGTTTGATGAGCTTGATGATTTTGCCACGGGCAACAGTACTGATGAAAATGCGAATCTTCACTCGTCCACCAATCCTTTCTCTGCAGCTGCTGCATCGGCTGCTGCAATGAAAGATGCCATGGATAAAGCTGAGGCTAAGTTCAGACATGCTAAGGAAGTGCGTGAAAGAGAGTATGCAAAAGCCGCCAGGTATAAGGACTCGGGGCCATTGGAGAAAGATGAAACAGACAGTCAGGAAAGAGAATACAAGGAAATGCAGGAGAGATTAGAACGTGAAAGGAAACAAGGTGAAGAAGAAATTGAGATGAAGAGGCTCGAGAGGGAGAGGTTAAGGGAGATTGAAAGGGTGAAGGCCAGACAGGCTGTCGAAAGGGCTAATAGGGAAGCACGTGAACGAGCTGCTGCTGATGCTCGATTGAAAGCTGAAAGGGCTGCTGTTGAAAAAGCAAACGCTGAAGCTCGGGAACGTGCCGGAAGAGTAGCTGTTCAGAGGGTACAAGCTGAAGCTCGTGAAAGAGCTGCTGCCGAAGCTAGAGAAAGAGCGGAAAAAGCTGCTGCCGAAGCAAGGGAGAAAGAGACTCGAGATAGAGCTGCTGTGGCAAGGGCAGAAGCAGAAGCCAGGCGTCGAGCCGAACGAGCTGCCGTTGAGAGGGCAGCTGCTGAGGCCAGGGGGAGAGCCGCTGCAGAAGCTCGTGAAAGGGCGGCTGCAGCTGCAGCTTCAAAGATGAATGAACAAAAGAATGATAATGATCTGGAATCCTTTTTCAGCATGGGCCGAGCAAGCAGTGCACCGAGAGATCGAACAAACTCAACTGTAAGTGTCAGTACGGTGACCGTGATATACGTGCATAAAATTGCACTTTTTAGTCCTGCAGTGGCTGACTTTTATGGTCCGGTAATTTGCTATTATAGCCCCGATGTTGAAAAACCTTTGCCAACATTGCCATAGCTTCTCTGTATTTTGTGCCTTGTACGTATGGGAAAGATTCTTAGTCTATTTTGTGGTCTCATCCTCAGGATCCGTTTTCTGATCAGTTCCAGAACAAAGGTGGATCCGAAGCTGCTAAGAGGACACCGCCAAGTAGTGGTGCCACATCTAACATGAAGAAAGCTTCTTCATCTACCAATTTTGTCGATGATCTTTCTTCTATATTTGGGAGTACGTCACTATTTATACCATCCACAATGTGTATTGTTATTAAGTGTTGGCATATTACTTGTGAGTTGTCCCACATTGATTCTATATGACAAATGGGCCTAGTTTATAACTTAGTGGAATACTCTTCCCATCATCAATTGGTTTGGGATGGAACCTCACTAAGGTGGCAACTAGGCTCGTCCTCTTATGCACTTTACCCTTGTGGAATCGTGTCCCTTCCCCGACTATATAAACCTAATATTAAGCATGTCCCACTGACTATTCTGCTATTAATCTTCCTCCAAAGCTGCTTCTTCGGCTGGAGAGTTCCAGGAAGTTGAAGGGGAAACTGAAGAAAGAAGAAGGGCCAGACTGGATCGCCATCAGCGCACTCAAGAGAGAGCGGTATGTCTTTGTATTCTGTAGCAAACAGTAGTTTCTGCTTAGAATCTTCACGGTTTTTGATATTTAAGGACTACTTTATTGTTTTGTTTGTTTTTCATATTTTCTGCTATTGAGTTCGAGTTTACTTTCTTAGGCAAAAGCATTGGCTGAGAAAAATCAGCGGGACCTTCAAGCTCAGAGAGAACAAGAAGAAAGACATGTGAGTTTCTCTACACCTACACAATTTTTCTATATGGGAGTTACATTTGAAGAAAGAATCTGGATGGATTTTTGAAGAATGGAATTTATTGCATCAAACATATTCAGAAATCTCATGGGTAATCTTGAATTTACTTTTTGATTCTTATCTGGAAGGACGCTATGCAAATGTTTGCAATAAACTTCTGAAGTTCAGCTAAATTGAGTTTGTAGCCTTTTGAAACATGGTTGCAAACTTGAGATGTTCCAATGAATAAAAACCTGTTGTATTTCAAATGTGTTTTATTGGTTTAAACTTCATCCTGGTTCATTACAGAGGATTGCTGAGACGTTGGATATTGAAATCAAGCGTTGGGCTGCTGGCAAAGAAGGAAATTTGCGGGCTTTACTGTCGACTTTACAATATGTGGGCCTCCTTTCAAAATTATAGTGTCATTTAATTCATTTCAACAGTTTGTGGTCAAACTACTTTGCATTTCCTGTGTGTTATGAAGTTGCCAAACTTGTGTTCCTTGCAGGTACTTTGGCCTGAATGTGGGTGGCAACCTGTTTCTTTGACCGATTTGATCACTGGAGCCTCTGTCAAAAAAGTTTATAGAAAAGCAACACTATGCATTCACCCCGACAAGGTGCAGCAAAAGGGTGCTACTCTTCAGCAGAAGTATATTGCAGAGAAGGTTTTTGACCTGCTAAAGGTATATTATTAAAACTTGTTCGTTGTTTGTTCTTTCCCTTTTATTCTATTTATAATATAATTTGCATTTTATTGCCAAGTGTTGCGCCATACTGTGAAGTGCGAAATAAAATTGTGGATTCTCGCATGATTGACATATCCATGTTATCAAATAATTATTGGAAGTACCTATGAAGAGCGATATAATTGTAAAAAAAATAGTTCTTTTTTCTTTATTGGCATTTGTGTGGCAGATCATCCCCTTAGTTGGTGCATCTTGTAAAATGGATGATATTTGTAATTGTAGTAGTTATGTGGATATTAATAAATAATAATCCCCATTTAAACACATTATTATTGCATATTGATGCGAGGGAATTTTCCATTAAGTTTGAAAACTTATATTTCGTGACAGGAAGCTTGGAATAAATTTAACTCAGAGGAGCTCTTCTAAAAGCTGCATTGAACTCGGTACATCTTTCTCTGTATCGCTCTATTGACATAATACTCGACTGGTTCAATGTATTATGCGCATCAATGCACACCGGCAGATTTTGTTCAATTCTTTTGTGGTGTTGCAATTTCTGGATTATGAAAGAGGCTCATGTGCTGCCGAGATGCTCCAGTGGTTTGTAAATTTATGCCTGACTGTGTATTATATTGACATCGATCTTGAATTCCAGTGAATCAGAAGCTTACATGATTTGCTTGGTATATAATAACATTGTTTTAAATACTATCTTGTATTAAAAAGTGTAATCACCCCTGATTATACATGAGGTGAAGGTCTTTGCCTTGTCCTATTTTTTTGGTTATTTCTTATTCTATATTTAATTTGCGTGACACCGAATATGTTCAGAACCAGAAAATGTGAGATTTTGACATTGTATTATTTTTTTGAGTTGAGAATTTATTTCAAGATAATTATCTCTTGTTTGGCTCAGTTTACAGTATTTCGGTTATTGAATTTTAAATATTTCTAATGTCAGATGTTTCTATGAATCAGCCTTGTTGCGTTAATTTTTTGTTCGTGAAATAACAAAATTTTGGGGTTGCATTCAAAAGCTCATCCAATTTCACTTAAACTTTGCTTTCACTTTTACAGCCTTCAACGCCTGCTGACTAGTAACTAGAAAGACATTGCTTATTAGTATTATTTAGTTGTGGAAGTAGTAGTAGTTATAGTATTTTTTTATCTAGAAGTTTGTTCTCCAAAAGTGAAGGAAAAATAAGTAATTATTCAATATTCAGTTGAGATTTATTGATAAAAATGTGCGGAAAAATCAGAATATTATAGAAAAGGTGTGACAAATTGTCTAAAGAAATTGGGTTACTGGCTTTGTATTTTTAATATAGAGAATCATAACATTTATTGTTTCCAATGCACCTCTTAGTTCAATATCGATTCGCTATTTAGAAGAAGGTGTGAAAATGTAATTTGGGTATAGTTTTATTTTGAATTTTTTGTTCCACAAATGTGATAAGATAATCTGGACTTTTAAAGACTTCATAGTTACAAAATAAATAAAATTATTTTGGTATCTCTGTGGTGAGGTTGACTTGTGTAATAATCTGGCCGTTGAAAGAAAATTCAGGATTGATTTTCTATATAATCCAATTATCAATTATCATTCTTAAATACTAAGAAAAGAAAAGAAAAGAAAGATCAGTTGACCAAATCCATGAAAACCCCTGATGGTGTGGCTTCCTAATTATGCCCTGGATAAAAGGTAATGACAAATTGTAGATAGCAAAGCATAAATGCATATGTCAAAGTGAATTTTTTTAGGTTAACTAGAGTTAATTTGAAAAAAGATGATATGATTAATTGTTAGTAAGATTTTGAATTTATATTAAAATAATATTAAAAAAAATAATTAAAGTAGTTTGATGTAAAAGTAGGAGAGAGATATATGAAGTGACGATTAGTTAAAATTATGTAGGTGGATGAATAGTAAAATTAAAATACATGTGATATGTAAGAATGATGAGATTATATTATTTAATTAAATTGATAATATTGAAGATAGTGGTGTTGAGTTAAATTTTAGTTAGATTTTGAGTTAAATGAAATTTTAAGTGAATTTTTGTATACAAACATGTGTCTGTGCTCTTTAACTTTTATTATGTAATTAATAAAAAATGGTAACAAAAATAACAACTTTTTCTTCCACATAAAAGATAAATTATTAAAAAATAGTAACAAAAATAATAACTTTTTCTTCCACATAAAAGATAACATAATTTTATTAAAAGTAAATGTATTTACCAAGACTACCAACAAACAAACAACAACAACAAGCATAATGATGCTTTAATTGCCAAACAGCTTTGGAGAGTGATTTCTCAACCCAATCTATTGATGAGCAGGGTGATAAAGGGTAAATATTTCCATAATCAAAACCATTTTGAAGTTGTCTCTAAAAATTCAGATTCCTGGCTTTGGAAATCTTGGCTGAAGTGTAGGTATGTTTTGCAATTGGGGATGGGGTACAGAATTGGGGATGGCAGGAATATTGATATATGGAATGCTAATTGGATTATTAAATCTCCTTTGATCAAACCTTTCTGCTGTTATGAAGGTGACAGACACAGGTTGAGGAAAGTCAGTGATTTAAGTAGAAGGGATGATGGTGGCTGGGATGAAGAACTTATAAAGCAGACTTTTTTACCATTTGAAGCTGAGGAAATACTGAAGCTCAGAGCTCCAACACAAGGAAAAAAGGATCAAATGGTCTGGAACATGTTTATAATTTTCTGGTGAACAGGATAGTGGCTGCAAAGGATGTGCCAGAGACTAGTGACAATGATGTGGTGCTTAAGAAGACATGGAGGAAAACTTGGGCTTTGCAAGTAAAAAATAAAATAAAAATGTTTGTGTGGAAATGTTGGCATAGGTTCTTGGGNAAAACACCAAGAAAAAGAACCCCAATCAAGAAAGAAACGTGTTGCTTCTTGAAAACAAAAATTCTTCTCCAGTCTCCACAACAACCCTTCAAAACTAATATTATTTATTTAAATACACTTGGTTGTATGGCTCAAATATGAGTATTATTTATTTAAATACGCTAAGTTGTTAGTTGTACCCGATAATTAGACAATCATACTTTCAACAAATATTAATTCTTTTAATTAAAATGTCATACTTTAAAAGTGAAATGATATACTATAAAAACATAATATAAACAAAGATATAATATTTGTATAATGTAAATATGCATTTTCGTTAAGAAATTTGGTTAGTTTGTCGTAAGTGTAAGTAACGTTTCATCCGAGAATTTGTGTTATTATTATTAATTTATTATTTGAAATTCTATAACCTTTGGTATCATTTTCAAATTTCAATCATTTATGTGTATACATCTCAATGCTACACCAATATTGTGGAATTTTAAATAAATATAGTCAATTTCATCCCTATACTAACTAAAATATTGCATGCAATCAATTATTAACCTGTTCAAAGAAAGATCAAACTGGTGAAGTGTATATTATGTTTACTACACATTGACTACATTAAAAAAGAACTCTGCTAGATATGCATATCGAATTGATAAATCTAAAAAAGAAGAATGTACATGATCTTAAAAATACAAAATCTTGTCTTAGATGTTCCACATCGAGATAATAAAAAATTATGCCCAAAATCAATTATTTTCTAGAATCAACAGAAGGATGATTGTTTTAATATATTTATATATCCCCTCTATATAAAATTTCAGAATGCGCTGAGCTTACGTGACAAACTCTCATGCTTCGTAATTCTATTTGGCAAAAACTCATGCTTTGGAGTTAGGCTTGGATATAAATTAATATTTATATTAATTGCATTTTAATATCGTTTCTATTATAACCATTGAATTGAAAATATATTTTAAAAGTTGATAACTTTTATATTTCTTATCGGTTTTACATATATAATATATCAAATTAATGATCTTTTGATGAGCTTCGATTTGACATCCATATTGTATATAAAATAAATAAATTATATTTATCTTTATAATAATAAAAAAATTATTTATTAAAATTAATTAGGAAATAAAATTATTATCAATTAATATATTTATGTTTAATGTAGTTGTATGTTATAAGGTAGAAAATTTATTATAATATAACACATATAAATCGCACAAGTAACATGTGTCATACTAAAATATATAATAATATATAATCCCTTCTATTTTTATTATTTGTCACTTTGGCTTAATTGAATAAATATCGTTTTAGATATTTTGATCATATTTTTTTTCCATTTTTAACCCTCCATCTAATACACAGTATCTCTTCATATACCATCTCCATCGTTTCCCATAACATCCATTAAATAGGGTTAATATACTAAAAAAAAAACCTTAATTAGTGTGTTGCATTTGAATTGATATTATGAAGTTCGTTTGTATTTTACTATTTATTTATATATATATAATACAAAACAGTAATATATATCTTTATAAATAAAATTTAAATTTATTTATCAAACTAAATTAAATTATATCAAATAAAACTATAAGTTATATTATAAAGTAATAGAAATTGGTATGTATTCTTTTAAAAATGATATATATTTCAGATCTAATTGGTATGTTGTCAATGCAATAAAAATAAATAATTATTTATATAAATTCTAAAATTACATATAAAGTTAAAAAACTGTGAAGCACGACTGATGTATTAGACATCTAATTAAGTAAAAAAAATTAATCTATTTTGTTTAATATTAAATAAACATATTCTACACTTGTGCATATATATCACCATATTATTTCTATTTATTTAAGATATATATTTATGTATTTATGTAAAAGTAAATAATATCGATGTTTTTATATGATATAAGTAAAAAAATTCAACACGGGTTGACATTTTCATTTAATGTACGGGTGTTTAATTATTATGATTAAAAAAATATAATTTAACAATTTAATTAAAACCAAAAGTAATATTTTATATAAAACTAAATTATTTTAGTTTAAATTATAAAAACTTTCTAATTCAACACCCGTGTAATACACGGGTATTGTAATAGTGCAACAATCAAATTGATGTTAGATAGATGTAACCATGAGTCAATAATACTTTTTGATTAAATATACATATTTTAAATTAAAGTCATACTATAAAAAAATATATATTTCACACCATATAATTTGAAAAAGCATGGCCACATATAAAAGTAAAAAAAATTGTGTAAACACAAAATCTATTTCAACTTTCAAGTGTCCCGACACATAAATTCTATTCCTTATATTAAGCCAAACATGCCTTAATAATAGTTGTAATAAAATAATGGTCAGCAAATGAACAAATAAAAAACGAGTCTTTATTACCACTGACGCTCCAAATATTCGCCTGTAACTACTCTCAAATTTATGAAGACTTCACACCAGTCGCCGTCTCACCTCCCGTTCTCTATCATCATCATTGCTCGTGGTTTTTGATAAGATTTAAGCGGAAACTGAAATCCATTGTTTTTGTATCTGCTTCGTGGAGTAATTTGAAGTGGGTTTTGTAATTTGTTTTTTTATTCTTCTTGGAAAAAGAACGAAGGAAAAAATGTCCGGCGGAGGGGAAGGGGAAGGGACGACGTTGGAGTTCACGCCGACGTGGGTGGTCGCCGCCGTGTGCACCGTAATCGTCGCCATCTCCCTAGCGGCCGAGCGCCTTCTTCACTACGCCGGAAAGGTTTGTCATTTCTCCATTTATGTGTGTGTCAGTGTTGCTTTAGGATGTAGGCCAAGGTTTTGGGATCCTTTCCGTTTCTTTTGTTATAATTGCTCCAATTTGAGTTGTATCTTGTATTTTTTCTGTATCTAGTGTTTGGAGGAACGATCTTGCTATGTGATTTTGAATTTTGCACACTTTCGACTGTGTTTTCCTTTTTGATTTTTTCCCCCTCTTTGATTTTTTTTTTGTCAACAAAGATTCATTTTCTTTCTTTTTATGGGAATCGAGTAGCTGGCTAGCTGCTAAAATCATCACCTTTTGCAAAATTTATGCAGACTTTGAAGAGGAAGAACCAAAAGCCGCTCTTTGAAGCTTTACAGAAAGTTAAAGAAGGTATCTTTCCCCCATTTATGCCAATTATCTGTTAATTTCTCAATGAAGGTCAAAGTCATTCTTTGATTATTCATTTATATTTATTTATTTTGTTTCCGATTCTTATCGTGGCGACCAAGAGTAGTTGTATATGTGTGTTCTTTCAATTTAATAGTCTTATCTTCATTTTCCTTGAAGCTGAATTTGTGGTTCTGATATGGTGGTTGTTTTTGTTATCAACAGAACTGATGCTCTTGGGGTTCATATCTCTTATGTTGACTGTATTCCAAGGCCGTATAGTCAAGATTTGTGTGCCTCGGGATATAATGATACATCTTCTACCATGCTCATTGCCTTCAGAATCTTCTGGTGGACATGAATCGGGTGCCTCCCCTGAAGTGAGTGGTGGGCCTCATCGGCGTTTGCTTGCTGAAGGAGCTGCTGGAGGCTATTGTGCTGCAAAGGTTAACTTAAAAACTGTTTTGACTATATTTAAAATTGCGTATACCATGATGGAGTATTTATGGCAATTGCTAGCTTGTATTTAGGCCAATGGTTCTGTTCAGTTATGGATATTCTTATCTTGCTTGCGGATAAATAAACGTTAGTGGCTGTAAGCCAGAGAGGAAAATGATAATTGAATTCAGTTATTTGGTACGGAGACTTGGGAATCTGGGATTGTTGTGAGCTATTAAAAGCTGTGTTATGTAGATTTATCATTATGTCATTCACATGTGGGTATTTGAAAACATTTGCAACATTCCAGCTTGTCAATAAGCATATTGCTTTATGGTTTAACAGTGTTGTACTGATACAAAAAGTTTTAAGTTAACTTATATGCATGCCGTTGTGGCACTTAGTGAGAACTTCCTTTACATAGTAGGAAATCTTGATGGTGGATTTGAGGCGAAGAAGCAAAAGATATCGTCAACTCACTTACAGATGCTCATAACTTTTTTTTTTTCTTTCGCATCACGAGAACAATTCTTTTACCATTAGTTTCTGTTTTTTTCTTTCTTTTTGGATAAGGTATTTAGATATGCACTTCCATACATTTATTTAGCTTACATGTTTTCTGGAAGCTATTCATGGAACTTTACGTAGGAAATTTTTTCCTCTGTGTTTTATCTGCAGGATAAGGTTCCTTTATTATCACTTGAAGCGTTGCATCATTTACATATCTTCATCTTTGTTTTAGCTATTGTCCACGTGACGTTCTCTGTTCTCACTGTTGTATTTGGAGGGGCAAAGGTGCACAACTTACTAATTCTATCCGTGTAATTATTATTAATTAACGTATTATGAAAAGTTCTGTATAATTTTGAATTTTATGTATAGATACGACAATGGAAACATTGGGAGGACGCTATTGCTAAGGATAATTATGACACATCACATGGTATAGAACTATAGATTCACTGATTTTGAGCATTTTTACTATAAATAGGCATTGTTTTCTAGAAATAGTACGTTTTGAATGTTTATTTTATTCCTTTAATTCTCCACTTCTTGTTTTTGTTGCCTTTTATCTGTCATAATCTTGAATTATAATGTTCAGCTTTCAAACCCCGGGTCACCCATGTTCGAGAACATGATTTCATCAAGACGCGTTTTTTGGGCTTGGGTAAACATTCTGCCATTTTAGGGTGGTTGGTAAGTCGAACTTTTTGGTTGAGAAATGAGAAATGTGAGTTTTTTCATTTATGAATGCAACTCAATGCCTTGTCAGCCTTTTAAAGTGAAAAAGACTCTACAATGATGAAAATTGCAAGAGATGAGTGTGTTAGACTTGCATTTAGGCATAATTGTTTGATATTAAATTTTTTCATGTGATATATTTTCAGCACTCCTTTTTTAAGCAATTCTATGGATCTGTCACAAAATCAGATTACGCAGCCCTCAGAGTTGGTTTTATTATGGTATGTGTCATGTTCTTATTTTTGTTGATCCTTTCACTTGGATGTTTTATATTATACTATTATCTACATTTGCAGTTTTTGGTGTTTATTTAACACGAAACTTGTCCTTTTTCACAGACACACTGCCGAGGTAACCCAAAGTTTAATTTCCACAAGTACATGATACGTGCTTTGGAAGACGATTTCAAGAAAGTTGTTGGCATTAGGTAATTGTTTTTTAACCGATATAAATCATGTTACATTTATTCTTCCAATAGCATGTAAGTATTGTTTACTGCCAAATTCTGGGCCTGCAGTGTTCCTTGCTAATATATTATTTTGTTTTTTATTGCAGTTGGTATTTGTGGGTATTCGTCGTCATCTTCTTGTTGTTGAACATTGAAGGTATGCCAGTCTAATTGCGCAGCTCGCTTTAGATGTTTTTGTTCTTTGTTTTGAAGAAGGAAAGATATTTACTGCAATAAATCTATTCATCCTGCAGCTATTCTAAAGTCAGTTGGGCATATAGGTTATTTCCATTTGAATGGAGACTATAGCTCCATCTACTTCTACTCAATGTTAATTTAAATTATTAATTATCCAGTTTTAATTCTGGATTGTATTTAATAAACCTGGAAGAAAATGCAATTTATGTGAACGATTGATACTGCAGGTTGGCATACTTACTTTTGGATCGCATTTATTCCTCTTGTTGTGAGTATCCCGACAAATTGCTTGCATTTTCTTTATTTTTGGGCTTCTTTTCTGTTTCCCTCAATATTCTTAATTACTAAAAAGAAAAGTAAACAATTCTAAATTACAAGTACCCGACATTTTTCTTCTAATGCCAATTACACCCGCCGCAACATGCTAAATTAAAACCAGAAGAAAATATGTTAAAATGGTGGTTTTT